AATCTCTCACAATGGGATGTGTTCTCTATAGTATGGTAGAACATCCATGTTATGAGAACAATAATTGGTAAACACTTTACCATACTGATCAAACATAAATGGCCCCTCCATTGTACCTATCACTCTGTGGAACTTCACTTACATTTAGTGGAGACTGAATTCACACATAACATAACAAAACAATTAGCCCAAGTCCCATTTTCATTCTAAACATATAGCCTATGTCCTGTACACATCACAACCATACAGCCAAAGTCCCAAGACCTCTATGAAGCCAAATCTGTACCATACAGATCACATTATAAAGCATCTAGCCCAAGGTATTTCATTTGCCATTTGACCATTCTGGCCTTCTGAGAAACAGGGGAGGCACACACAATCAATGTGCAAGAAGTCATGTTACAATGTACTGCATTGCATAGGGATCAACACAGGGTTTACAGATTTTGCACTCAACAGGGACATCCTACACAACTCCTGCCAAATGATACTCCCGCCTTAGCAATCAATGCTCATCAATGTATCAACTCCGAACCACCATAATTCTACTTGCTGATTACTGCCATCTGCCACCTCGGTGGACTACGGGTTAGCATCCTCGCCACTGGATTCAAGGTTCGTGGGTTCAAACCTGGCTGAGGTTCATGGATTTTAAAGGGTGATAAAAATCCATAGCATAACATCTTGCGAAGGGGAACTAAAGCTGGCAGTCAAACTTCACAGATTTACGGCATGAAAAATAACCTTATGAGCATAAACAAGATGTTTCATACACAAAATTCAGCGGCCATTTCCCACCCATGTCTCTGATTCTCTACTAGACGGCTCTAGCAGACAAATATCAAGACCGAGTAGAAATTGTGCAGAGGCAGTGGGCTGGTCACTCACTACTCACTAATGCACACTTCAAAGACCAGAAATCCTCTGAAAGGAGGCAGCTAAGATCCACACTGGGTTATTATAAACGTGGAATAACTATCATAAAAGTCAACACAACATTTTAATGATAAATGGAAAGTTTTATTGCAGTACCATCACTATCAAATAACGTTCAAATACATTCAACATCATTCTAGATCACACATATGTCAGTAACTAGTATTTCTAAACATAAATTGAAGTCATATGTGAAATTAATATTCAATAAAGAACCAAATGGATAGCTGCTCTCATAAAATCATGAGAAACCAACAAAATTAAGAACACACACTTGAGACAATTTTCAAAAGCAATGCAAATGGGACACTGTTCAATACATATAGTTAATAAGATGGCCACAAATTCTGTGCGTGTATTCCACTGCCAAAACAAGACGGCAGAGTCCTCAACAGCTCTTCGAACACCATGCAGATGATAGTGAAACATTTGTACTATTAAAAACTTATTACAGGGGAAAACAGAGATCCAAATTGGACACACCTTGAGAACATTAATTTATCAAGCAAAGAGTAATCTTGTTAACTGATTACATTTGAAAATATACGTTAAATTTCACAGATAACACACAATGATCAAGTATGCCATATTTCAAGTGGAAATAACCACAGCAGCCAAAAATACACAGACATGTTTTCAGCATAACAATCATCTAGACAGCATGACGGTTATCTAATAATAACTCAATGAAATCTGGATTATTTCATTATGATACTCATAGAGGAAATTTTTTGCCATATGAACTGAAGTCTCAGCAAAGACAAATGAGGACAAAAATTAACATTTTGAGGTGTTAACAGCAGTAAAAAATTTAGTGTCGTCTGATGAGTGTTGACACTGCATGCTCTTGTAGGTAGTATCACTGTCTGAGGAACCACCTTCCTAGAACTTCACAGCAGTATAGGGTGGATGCGGTTGGGTTAGGTAGAACAAATCTGAGGGATACGCCTGAGTTCAAAACATGATCAGCCTCCTCTAAGAACCAGGCATGAAAAAGGTTTAACAGGTGTGTAGCCAAGTACTTGAGATTAAATTAATCTAATAAAAAATCATGGGACATAACAAACTTTTGGGCTTCGCTATTATGTTAATGATAGCAACTAAGCTCATGAAATTTGTTTCATTCAACAAAATATCACAATCATGCTTTCTAAAACTTGAAGTGATGTGACAAGCCTTTAAACTAACAGTTGATCTTTCAGTATAAATGTGTTCTTGCTTTAAACAAAGTGCAGTCACAATACAGAAATATCTCAAAACTTTACATGAAGTACATTTTGGGTATCAGAAACCAAACAATCATATTGGCAAATTCTGACTCACTCTGTGTGCATAACGCATTGTTCTAATGGCCACTAGTCCTATGGCAGGTAGGCAAGCTTCAAAATTAAGACTATACACAATTTCAACAAGTGCAGATACAGATTTTGTAGCTTACATTCTGAAGACAATCAATTCCATGGTTAAGAGTTCTATATTAGCCGAGACAAGAATCTCCTAGTTACAGAATCTAAATCCCTGTGTTCACAAAACCCATCAATATATCTGATTAAGTATAATCCGGCACACATGTTCACAACCTAAATCTGATGTAATTGCAGACACTGACCTGCCAACACCCAGGACACAGACACATGGTAGTTTAAAACCAAAATGTTGTGTGTACTATATGTATGACCAACCTCTGTCATGATTTACCCACTTTAATAACACTGAAAGATATCCTGTTCACTGCCCTGAAACTGATAACAGAACCAAGGGACAGGAGTAGACCATACAATAAGCCACAACTGAAGTACATATTTTATTAAAATCTGAATACATTCAGAAAGAATTTCCATTTCATATCCCTGAGAATGTAGCAGCCATTGCATTTTACATACGTAGTGTTCAGAGTATTTCATTCTCCTCACAACCTGGACTAGTAATGCAATAAATGCTGTGACACACACACACACACTCCAATTTACATTATTTTGATCTCACTGATGCAAACTCAATATTGCTAAGGTACAGACTGTACCTTGGACAAGAACCAAAAGCACACTCATGCTTACTGCATGGATGCTACTCAAATCAGGTTTCACACATCCAATCAGTATCATGTAAAACTTCAGCTTTCACTGATGAACCACATTCAATGTTGAATAGCAACTGCAATGTTCGCTGAAACAGATAACTTTCAACACTCAATGCTGCTCACTACTGAAAGCCATTTTACTCAACACCAGCCACGAAAACGTTCAGCATCATGTTCTGACATCCCATTTCTATGACCAAGTCAATCCAAAACTACAGAAAGTACCAACACACGGCTCAGGACAAACTAGAAAATCACTTGCCCACACAATGCAATTTAACATTAAATATTTTCTCTGAATATAAATCAGGGGGTGAAAACATAAGATGCAGCCAGAAGCCCCATCATAGGGTCATGGGGGAGGTGTTAAAACCCTCCATTTTCATATCATAGTTTAAAATATGCATGATTAATTAAAAATGTTAACACAGAATAATACTTCAATTGCAACTGTCACTTGTGAAAATGTGAAGAACTGTCAGTGGAACAGCTCCAATCACTAAAGTAGAAATGTTAATTTTATTTGTTATACACACATTCAGAATACGCGCAAGGGCCAAAAATAAGACATTACTCACAAGATAACCCACATTCCATGAAGGGAGCATCCTCAAAACCACAATGTAAAAGGAATATCAAACCTCCAAAAACGTCTGAAGCCATTCTTCTGGCTGCCAGCCACACTTGTCACCAGTGGTGTTTCAGTTTACTTTCTTTTTTAATGATATATTTAATAACCAGGGTGGCTGAGCATGAAAATGGTACAATATAGATCAGATGTGATGCCATTCCTAGCAGAGCCTCTAAAAATTTCCTTTTATTATCCCACCAAAAAATGTTTCCCACTCACCATTTTTAAATGCAGACAACTTTCTTCATGAGTATACAAAGTAACCCCATTACTCAACTTCATTTAGAACAACCACTGTCAGTAAATACAACACAGCTGAACATAAAAATGTGTAAAACCAAGGATAACCAAAAGGCAACGCCACAAACGTAGTAAGGAACCTCAAGCAAATAACATCTGAGAGACTAATGTAAATGACATAGCACTTCCCACTGCATCTTAATCTTATAACCAAATTAAAAGATCATATGCATCACAACATTGCTAAAAGGCAACAGATTAATTTTGATACAATTAATGAATGTGCCCAGTTACAAGAACAACAAATGCCAACAAAACCTGAATTTTAACGTGGGCTCAAAAACACAGTCAACACTGCCAGAGTGTGCATGCTTCTGCTAAGATGAAGGTTCCAATCTGTTCAGTAGGACTGCACCTTAAAACATGTCAGTGGACTATGATACCAAATTAATACATTTTAACAAGAAATGACATGAAAATGTCTTCTGCACTCCGAAGAATTTTGTGTTGATGCTCAATTAAAGGTTAATTCAAATGGCACACTCTAGGAATGTTCTAGTCAATCTATAACCCAACATAATAAATGGCTCTAGAACTTCTGTTTCTCCCTCGGTGGAACAGGTATATCCAAGGCAACTAAGAAGTCAACTGTCACAGGCAATAGTGAGAACCAAGACCAGCTACATCATAACGCACATCGAACCAGGAAAGTGCTACTATCAAAACCCACCTGCTCTGAGCAGTCCTAAAGAACACGCATTATCACATCACACATTTCAAACATAATACACAGCAGGTTGATTGAATCTAGCAAATTCCTGCAAAACATGACTTTTTGGTAAGTTTGTACAATACAGGGCATCTTATTTCTTTATAGCATTGCTGAAAAACTGATTACTCTCAACAGAGACAATTATTTCTTACTCCATCCAAAATCCAAATTCTGGGTTGTTGCGCCATGTAGTATGGTAGAAGTTTACGGACGTTACAGAGGTCCTTGCTGCCTCCATCATCAGGGCAGCAAGGACCTCTGAAATGATAAACTTCTACCAGACTACACTGCACAACAACCCAGAAAACAGCCATCTCCAGACTCACCACAATGAAAACCTCAAATCCTACTATAGTCATCTTAAAAAAAATCTCTGCACAGGCAGCCACTCTTGTACAGAAATGTTCTTTCCTTAGAACATATGCTCATGACTTTTCTGATGTGTTACAAGAAGAGTTCTCGAAACAAACCCTTTCTGGCAAACATGACATACATATGGTCTTTGACCTGTGTGAGACCTCTTATGCACTACAAGTGTTGAACGCTGCGTGAAGGACTTTCCACATAGGTCACATGTATGTGGCTTTTCTCCAGTGTGTGTACGTTGGTGAACACGGAGATAATTGCGAGATATAAATGCTTTACCACAAACATCACACACATTCGGTTTTTCCCCAGTGTGTGTCCTCACATGCACCATCAGGGATGCCTTGCTGGCAACATTCTTGCCACATATGTCACACACAAACTGGCTTTCTCCTGTGTGGGACTTCAGATGCAATAACATAACCTGCTTGCGTGCAAACCGTTTCTTACAGATGTCACACTGGTGTTTCTTTTCTGGGGGTGTAAAATTAGGATCATGCGTCTTCTTGTGCAATGTAAGCCTGTACCTGTACCGATATGCCAAACCACAAATGTCACACTGGAATGGTTTTTCCCCTGTGTGAATAGTCTTGTGCTCTCGGAAAGTTGTTTTTGTATAAAATCCTGTGTTACATACTTCACACTTGTACTTGTATTCACTGAGGTGCCGCTTTCTGTGGTTCACCAGGTTTGCTCTCTGTATACATGAATACCCACAAATATCACAAACATGGTTCTTTTCCCCTGTGTGAATCTTTTTGTGACTCTTTAGTTCAAATGCTCGCTTAAAACTGCGATCACAAATATCACAAGGAAAGGGCCGTTCATCACTATGAATCACCATGTGAACTGTTAGTGCTCCCTTAGACACAAATGCCTCTCCACAAATAGTACACACAAACGGACGTTCTCCGGTGTGAATCCTCCGGTGTATCAACATTTTACTTTTGATGAGAACCTTTCCACAGAATTCACATTTGTTTGAAACCCTTTCCTTTTTGGAGCTGCATTTTGTACCTCTAGAGGCTTTGTCTCCAGATCTGTAAAGAAGAGAGATTGCAACATGAATTCGGACTTTTTCACTCGATTTAAACTCAGCTTACAATTCTTATCCAAGCACAATGTCTAGTAACTCCAATTAAAACCCCTAACCGTTCCAATACGTGATCTAGTTTTAACTCCTCTGCAAACAGAGGCCATTAAATAACAATCCATCCTGGCTTCCATACAGCAATCTCTCCACCTTCAATAAGACTTCAATCACACAATTTCCCTCAGGAAAACCCAATACAATACCACCATCTTCCAGCCAGTATTAAAATTTTTGTAAATGTTGCATACAAATAAAATGCCCTAGCTTAAGTTGCATATGTTCCTGAGCACAAACTAATGTCTTGCATATTCCTGAAATGTGATCAAGTCATAATTCAGGAACTGGTTAAATCTAGTTAATGGGTTAAAAAACACATGCAAAAGGAACATCAAAACCCTTGGTGAATTTTCTGATGTGTAATGAGCATTGTTCTGGACACAAAACCCTTGTTACAGACTTGACACAGATATGGTCTATAATCTGTATGAGACCTTCTGTGAACTGTCAAGGATGAACGCTGTGTGAAACACTTGCCACAATGATCACACGTAAACGGTCTTTCACCTGTGTGGGTACGCTGGTGGACCTTAAGACAGAGTCGTGAATTGAATGCCTTCCCACATACATGACACACATTAGGCTTCTCACCAGTGTGCGTACGAACGTGCACTTTCAAATAGTCTTTGCTTGAAAGCACTTTGCCACAGATGTCACAGATACACTGGCTCTCGCCTGTATGGGACTTCATGTGCACCAACAGAACTTTCTTGTGAGAGTAACATTTGCTACAGATCTTACACTTATGTTCCTTAGGAGGTTCGGACTTTGGGTCATGGGACTTGTGATGCTGCGTCAGCTGGTACCGATACCGATATACTAAACCACATACGTCGCACTGAAATGGTTTCTCACCAGTATGACCCATCATGTGCTCTTGGACTTCAGTGTTCGTGTAGAACCCTTTAGAACAAATTACACACTTAAACTTGTATTCATTCAAATGTCTCTTCCTATGATTCACCAAGTTTGTTTTCTGAATACATGAGTAACCACATATATCACACACATGGTTCTTTTCCCCTGTGTGAATTTTCCTATGATTTCTCAACTCAGATGACCGCTTAAACCTGTGATTACACACATCACAAGGATATGGTCGTTCATCACTATGTATGACCATATGCACATTCATGGCACCTTTTGAGACGAAAGCTTCACCACACTCTGTACATGCAAATGGCCTTTCCCCTGTATGAGTCCTCCTGTGAATCAGTAGCTTACTCTTTACAAAAGACTTTCCACAGAATTCACACTTGTTTGAACTCTTTTCCTTTGTTGATCTGCTTTTCGACTTTCCAACAGATTCACTAAAGGCATTGTCTGCAGATCTGCAAAGAAGAGAGATGAAAAATGAATTCTTCTGTTTTGTAATCAAGTCTCAAGCCTCTGTGCATGTTTTAATGAAAGACAAACATTCTTCCAGACTTCTGATGCCAGGTTCATAAAGAACAATGCTACTGCTAATGTAATTTTGCTTCACTTAACATCACCAACTTTACTACACACGTTATCCAATTGTGACAGACCAAAACAATGCCACAGTAAGCTGGCACTACAGGATTGTAAGTAATCAGGACAAAAACGTCACTCACTCTGTATGTATGCCCATTTCACTTTTAATGACTACACTACTTGTGAACAACACACCATCCATTCAACAAGTTCAATAATTTCATTTATCTGAATGAAGTCGATAGTGCTGCATTATGAAATTTTGTGAATAACGCACG